TCCTCTGTTTCCTCATTTTGTTAAGGTTTCTTGTGTTTCTTTCTTTGTATTAGATGGGTCTGCTATGCTTCCTGGTCTAGAGAGTAATGGGTTTATGAAGAAGGTGTCCTCTGGTTCCCAGAAGTTCAAGACTTCTCACTGTCCAGTGCCTGATTCTCCTTTGTGGTGGAGCTCCAGTTGCTGTTGGTGGGCTATGGGAAGGGCCCTCTTTCTGACTGTCTGCCCATAATGGGGTATCTCAGTCCACAATTGAGGGCAGTTTGCCTCAGATGGCCCTTTGTGAGCACAGCAGTTGCTTTTCTGCCAGGATTGTTGTGCGCGGGGTCACCCTCTGCCTGTCCTAGGGAGTTGGCAGCACTCCCGGCTAATGGGTTGGGCAGGGTGGTCATACAGAGCAAGTTGTGTGGTGGAAAGTCACACAGAAACAGTAGAGCACATGTGTGCCTACTCCTGGCAGTGGAGTCAGCTAGGCTACCTGTGAGGAGCAAGGAGCTCTCAGAGCTGGGGCATCCAGGCGCCTCCCTAGTGGGGCTGAGACAGGGCCAAAAAAGCTGGGAGAGCCTCCCTCTGCCTTCCAGGCAGCAAATTCTGACTGCTACTGGGCCAGCTGGGCAGGTGGGCACTTGTGTAAGGAAGTGCCTCAGGGCCGAGCTGCCAGCAAAAGGGATGGAGCTTTGGGGACTCTCAAGAGTGTCTGGCCTTTTGGCCAAGGAAGGGCTGGGGAAGTGTCCTACACTTGCCCTTTCTTCTGTAGATCTTCTGTAGAGAGCTCTGTCCAACAATCTCCTCTTTGGCACCACTCCTGCTGCTGGAAAATCATCCAAACTGCTCTCTGAGTGGGACTGATGGAGCATCTGTGTTCCTCCACAAGCAGCTGGAGTCTCAGCCTCCCATGGAGCTCCAACTCTCCCTGGTGTGCAGCCCACTGATCACTAGAATCCAATGCAGTGTGGACTCACATTCACAGAGCTGATCTCCAGAGCCAGGTGTGCAGAGCTCCTGAATGCCTGTCCCCTCCCCACTTTTTATCTTCTCCTCCCACCTGTGGGCTGGGATTGGGAGGAAGAGCTCGGGTCCCTGTGGATCTTGGCTCTGCCACTTTACCCGTCTCTGTGTGGCCTTCTCTTCTTCCCCAGGTTAGGTGGTCTGCTCTGCAGTCTTTGGGTTAGCTGTGTTTGCTGTAGTTGTTTCCTTGGTGTGTATATGGGAGGAGGTTTCTGCCATGCCTTCCTTCTTGCCATCTTTTTCTCCTCTCCACCTATCAATCTTTTTAAAATGTGCTGATCTAATAAGTGAAAGTAAATATCATTGTTAACTGAATGTACATTTGTTTGGTTATTGAGATTGAGCATCTTTTTACATGTGGCTTTTGGCCTAGTATAATTCCTTCTCTATGAACACTTCTTCGTGTGTTTTACTCATTTTCCCTCTAAGGTCAATCAACTTTTCTTTCCTGATCTGTAAAATATCTCTGAATACTAGAGAAATTAACTGTCTGGAGACCATATGTGCTATGAAAGATGGCATTATTTATGGCTTTGAGTTTTCTTTGGGGTAGTATTGATGTGTGACTGTATGTGTTTCTTTTTTACTAATTAGAAGTTTAAATTTTTTATGCTTATCTGTCTTTTCCTATATTAATTTTCCATTTCATAAAATACATCATAAAAATATTCAATTATGTTTCCTTCTCAATTTTTATGGTAAATTTAAGTCTTTCATATAACTGAAATTTAGCATAAGCAGTAAGGAAGGGATCCAGCTTTATAGTTTCCCAAATCATAAGTCATTTTTCTCTACATTATGTACTTAGTAGCATGGCCTTTTTCCACTTATTTGAAATGCAGCTTTATTATGTACTAACATGTAGAAGGATAGATAGGTGATAGATGATAGATAGATAGATAGATAGATAGATAGATAGATAGATAGATAGATAGATAGATAGAGAATAGATTCTATTCTAATGATGTATCCTTTCTTTTGCTACCCATGTGTTCTTTTACTTTCAAATGATTTATGCTGTGCTTTGATACCTGGTAAAAATGCTCTAACCTCTGATCTCACTTAGCTTTATTAAAGAATTTTCATAGAATTTTACACCTGTTAGTTTCTTCAATTTATATTTCAAATAAATTTTGTCAGACTTTAAACTAAAACAACCACTTAGGATTATATTGCTTCACATATTCCTTTTCTTGATCCTGCTGTATCCCAGATATATCAAATCTTAGTTCTTTTGAGGAATTAGGATAGTCAGTTCTGGACCTTCCAATTCTCAGCTACCAAAGTGAGCTTTCTAGTGCCCAAAGATAATCATTAACAGCATATGCTACAGCAGCCCACTAGCAAACTCAGCAAGTATAAATTAATTTCGAATATGAGCTACTTGAAGATTCTTGATGGGCAACAAGGAATGACTTCATTCTCTGCAAAATACTTAAGTGTTGTAGACCTAAATGCCACTTGACTGAGTGCCAGAGTGCACCAAAAACTATCCAAAGGGAAGCTGCATGTTTTTTCATGTTCTCTCATAGGTAAATAATTATCTCATTGTAGACCATACATTTGCTCAGACCTGTGAGATTATAAAATTTGCTTTATTATGATTATGTCTAATTCAACATCTTTGCCTGTACATTTTCATAGAATTGACTTTGACACATCATTAACTAGCCATGGATATCTATTATTATGGTCAAAATACTGTGGTTCACATTCATAATATCATTATGATTTGAGATTGCTTTTGGGATGTGTTACTTTTGTTTTTTTTAAAAGAGAATGAGCAGTGGACTTCAGACATGGCCTTGACTCAGTGCCTGCTCTATGCAGATTTCCCTGCTAATATCAATGGATATGTATGGGATAGCCATGCCCAATCTAATGAAACTTATTGCTTATGGTGTAGAGGACAGAAGTGCTCATATTTTGTAAAAATTGCAGAGATGATGTTAATCCAAATTTTTTAAAAAACTTGAAATAAGTGAGCTTTGATACAAATATTGAACTGGTGTTTAAAGATGATGTTCAAAGATTTTAGAAATACACAATGTCCATGAATTAATAAAGAATCAGCAAACTGTAAGTCAGAGGTATGTAGACGTAACTCAGTCTATTGAATATGTTGAGAATGCCAGCCTTCCCTCTTGGCAACTGTTATCTGCCTAGGATACTTTTAATCTCTTCTTTAACAACTCCTACTTGCCTTTCAAGATTAGCTGAAGTGTACCCCCATATTAGTTTCCCATGACTACTGTGACAAATTACCACAGACTTGTTGGTCTAAAACAATACAGTTTTATTATCTTATAATTCTGGAGGTCAGGAGTCAAACATAGGTCTCACTTAGCTAAAATCAAGATGTCAGCAGGGCTTCATTCTTCTGGGGACTTTAAGAGAGAACCCATTTTCTTGCCGTTTCCAGCTTCTAGAAACCACCTGCATTCCTTGGTAGGACCCCCTCTCTCCATCTTCAAAGTGGGCAGCATGGCATGTGCCTCCCTCTCTCTCTCTCTCTCTCTGTCCCTACTCTCCTGCTTCCCTCTTAAAAGGATCCTCATGGCGACATTCAGCTCCCCAAGATGATCCAGGATAACCTCCCCATCTCATGGTCCTTCATTTAATATATGCAAAGTCCCTTTTGTCACATAAGGAAACATATTCACAAATTCCAGTGATTTGGATGTTGACACCTTGCGGGAGGAGTGGGGAGTATTATTCAGCCTATTATAGCTCCTCTTGAGAGTTTTTCTGACCTCTTGAGTTATAGTTGGCTCCTCTTTCTCTAGATCCAAGGGCATGGGAATTTTTAGAACTACTCTGAAATTTGGGGTTAATCTTTCTACTTTTAATGTTGTTTCTTGTTGACAAAATTTTATATATCATGTGTGTAGCCAGGTTGGCCTGACTCTGGCCCTAAAACTCACTTGGCTTCCCCCTTGTAAGGGAGAAGAGCGCTGATAGGTGGATGACGGGGGAGGAGCCAGAGCCCCTCCAGCGCCTGCTCATAAGAAGCGGCACCAACTTCACAGTTTCCCCATCTGTGATATGCAAATAATTGTAGTGTTTACCACATAACATTTCTTGTGAGTATTAATAAATGAGCATATGAAAATTACTTAGAATAGTAACTAGCACATAATATTCACTCAAAACTACAAATTACTATTTCCCACTTATGATCTTATTTATTGTAAGGATTAAAGAGACAATAGAAAAAGCCACACACATGCCTGGCCTACAGTAAATTCTCAATTAATTCCATCTTTTGATTTATCATCATGAGCTGTATTAAATACAACAGGTTGAAAGAAGTCAAATAGAGTGAAGAAAATGTTGTGTTTCAAAGGTGGGATTTTAGTGAAATCAACTTTGTGGAAGCAATCTGAACTATTTCAGGCTCTCTTTTTCTCAGGATTATAAGGTCACAGGGTTAAAAGATATGAAAGTCAATAATGTTGTGGTAGATTTTACTAGTGTCAGTGATGAGATAATAATATAGTAATAACTGTAGGCTTTTAAATCTTACAAAGTGTTTTCAAATATATTATCTCATGGGGCCTTGATGTGACTTAACATTAACATCAGGCAGTCTCCAGCTATCTAACGGCTATTTGATTATTTAGGCTTCCCAGATTATTATCATCCTAGGCACATAATAGTCCCTTAAAGTGTTACCCATTTGCTTCCAGGGCAAACTGAGCCATTCTACTCAAATGTTTACAGGAAATAGAATAGAAACTTGTGGATTCATCTTCCTCTCTCACAAATGAAGCAACGGCAAAGTGGTACAGCATCTCAGCTGTTCCAAGTTCCTCAAATAAGTTTTACTTTTGCAAAACGAACCCTTTAACTTCCTATATTCTGTGAGCTGTGTTATGAGCAACATGACTGGCAGCCACATTTGTTGTAATTTTTTAAATATGTGGAAAAAAAGCAAGATATCGACCATGTATTACCTTAACCAAGACGCCAAACTGTCTAACTTGTTTCTCCAGGCAAGCAGCCCAACAACAGGGACAGCTCCTAGGAGCCAGTCAAGGTTGTCTGTCTGCCCATCTACTCAGGACATCTGCAGGTAAGTGCTCAGCAAATAATCTTATTCAATATTTTTTAGACCGTGTTTTGCGTTCTTGCTTATATTCGGAGACTGTGTGGCTCCTGCCTCTGCCTTGCATTGTCCATGGGCAATTCATACTGGCTCATTATTTTTCCTTTAGTGCATTTTCTTCATTTGGTTTTTATTTATCAATTTCTGGTCCATGTTATCATTTTCATCATTCTTTCTCTCTGTTTTCTCATGGCTTTCCTCTCCATTCCCATATCCCATCCCTTGCCTGCTGCTTTGTCTAGATCTGCCATCTTAAATAACATGCCAGAACAGGCATTTGAGCACTGCCCCCCTGTCACAGTGCTGAGCCCTGCTAGGCAGGAGTTGGGCAAGAAATCAGTAAAACAGAGGTCTAGAAGGAGGAGAAAGCCCTCTGAGAGATAAGAGCACACAGAAGAGCAAATAAAAGGGAGAAGAAATGATTTTCACCTCCAAATCACAAGCCCCCAATGGTGTGAGTTTTATGCAGATTCTTCAGATTCATCTGCCACGGACGCGAGTCCCTGGATGCAAGCAAAAAGAAGAGCCCGACTGAAATTCCAACTGTCACGAAGGAGAAGGAGAAATAATAATAGGCCATGTGGAAACTGGGGGTGGGTCTTCTGCTCCTAATGGAACTGATCTGGTAGATTCGGGATCCAGAGGTAAAAAGCAGCAAGAGCTGATCCGATGTCAGAGTCGCTCTTTAAATCTCTGCGGAGGAAAAGGCACAGGTACCGAGAAAGCAGCCTTCCGCGGCCAAGCGGACCCCTGGGGACGAGGAGGCCCCAAGGAGTCCTGGGAGAGCCCGCGCAGGGACCCTCAGCCCTTGCACAGACTTAGGCAAAATACAGAAATGAAGAAAAGGCTTTCAGAAGCAGGTTCCAGCACTGAAACCTTGGCAGTAACAGAAGTTGGCAAGTGTGTGGCTGATGCAGGGACCACGCGAGGAACTCCGTTCAGAAGTCTCCGCCACCTACCCTGACAGGTCTGACAGTTTAAAAGTATGCGTATCAGTCCCCACAGAGAAAGACTGGATGCCACCCAACATATTACTTCCCGCTGTGAGTTAGGTTTGTGTTTGACCCCTACCCTCAAAACATAACATTTATTCAGACTGTTATTTGTCTGATTGTCTGTAGGTGATAAAATGAGAAAAGATTGGTATGCACTGGTTTAAAAGTTGTCCTAAAATAGAATTAGATTTCCCCTTTCCCATCCTTTTAATTTAATAATGATCATTTTTCCTGATAAAGGGACTGACAGGCCAGTTGAGTCTTACACCCATTCTGGTTAAAACAAGGCTAGTGGAGGAAACATGAGTGACAATGTGTGAAATTTGGACTCTTCAATGCAAATTTGGCGAACTCTTAGCACCCTGACAGGATATGCAGAAAAAAAGAAAATGTGGATATTCAACGCTTGGGTTTTTTAAGTTCAGATTTTTATATCAGAAAAATCTCCTCTGCTGTTGGTGCTAATTTGTTCACCAGTTGTCTGACTCAGCAGGGTAACTCAAGAACGAAATGACACAGAAATGAGTCATGGACACATCAGTGGGGCCACTGGAGCCTTCAGAGGGAAAAAGACCTCATCAACTTTAGTGCTAATCATGTACTACAAGGCTTCAGCATGCAGGCATTTCATAGCTATGAGACTAGCACCTTCTCACACTTTTTACCTAACTGTATAAATTTTCAAAATAACTTAATGTTAAAAAGAATTACAGGAATATTCATGCTAGTATGCATAAATGGGACAATTTTAAACAAAACAAATACTTTTAAAGTTTTTATATTATACCTAGTCATTTAAGTTGGTTAAATTCTGTTTCAAAGTAGGTCAAGTTTTTGTTGCATACTGCTTGGTTGTTTGGGCTTGTTTTGATAAAGGTTGATGTTACTTTATAAAACTTATGTATATTTCATGTGACTCATGTGATCCAGAGAATGATGCTCATGTCCATTAAAGGCAGGACAAGAAGGACAATTAAGCTCTTGATGTAAATAATATTATAGTAGTTTGTATCTCTGAACATCTTAGAAGGTAGTCATTCATAAAATGCTATTCGTTTATTCATTCAGGCATGTATTATACATCAGACTTTGTCCTAGGCATTTAAAATATTATTATGCATTAGATTCACATAGTCTCTGACATCTTAGAGCTTACAGTCTGATGCAGAACACAGTCACATATAATTACAAGCATGATATGGAATCTGAGCGTACACAACAAAGAAGCTTTACCTATTCCGAGAGATCAGAGAAGAATTCTCTTAAAAAAGTGATAAACTGATTGAGGCTCAAAGGATGACAGGTTTTGATCAAGGGAGAAAACAGGGAAGACCTTACAGGGCAGGAAGCCAGGAGGAGGCAAGGAGATCAGCCAGGACCCTGAAAGGCAGCTCTCGTGGCCAGCGTGTGGTGAGGGAGGCGGAAGGGTGGTTGAAATGAGTATGTAGTGAGAGAGGGCCATGTAAAAACACACTAAGGGGTTAAAAGCGACAGAAGTAACACCATTGGATTTGTATATTGATGTAAGTTTCTCGTAATCTTTTGAATCTGATTTCAGTGTGGCTTTGCTACAATGTTGGGGGATAGAATAAAACTATTTCCAGTCTAGGCTGAGAATGCCTCACTTTCAGTTATCTGTTGTCATCCCCCAGATCTCCTCCCAACATAATTTGGTGAAAGATAATCAAAGAAGCTGTTTGTAGGCTTAATGGTAATTGGAGAAAAAAGTAATGCTTTCAATTAAAATCAGAGTGGCTGCATCTCCTAACTTAAAAGCACTAATCTGGAGGAACATTTTCAAAGACAGGTTATTTAACTGAGACTTCTATTAATCAAAGTGAGATGGATGGGCCTATAATTATTATTTCTTGCTATGGGTCATCATCAGACTATACCCACTAAGCAAATATCATGGACAGCACATTTTACTGGATGCCAAGGATGAAAAGTGACAAAATAATTGATTCCACCCTTATTATTTAGTGAGAGAAACTGAATGTACACCTGAAAAGATGTAAGTTTATGATAGTACAGGGTTAGCTTAAAAAGAGGAATACTGCAGGAATTGGAAGAAAGAAAAATTCCTGAGAGATAGTACAATCTGAAAAACCCTTAAGAGGTGGGATTGGGACTGAAAAAGTAGAATTTAGATTGGCAGAGATGCATGGATGGCATTCCAGGAACTTGAAGCAGAGGAAACACCATAGACCCAGATAAGAATGAGGAATGACACAGGGTCTGTGCGAAGTCTGTGCGAACTTGTGTGACTATTTTGGAAGGTTTGCATAGGTTGATAGGGATAATTAAACTTTTTTTAAAAGAGGCATTGTGAAGAAAACATGCACACCCTTCCAGCATGCATAGCTCTGTTTTGTAAGTCCTTGTTCTCAAACTGCCTCTGGCAGCCTCTTGGTGCCAAAACAACTGCCTCCAAATGTGAGGACAGATCAAGGGGATTGTGCTCCCTTTAGCCCATCTTCAATCAGAAAAGCTTCATGTTTATCTCTCTGATATAATGACATTCATCATAATATTCCTTTAAGGAAAAAAGAAGATTTCACTGCAAAAAACAAAACAGAATGCCTCCACTAAATAAAATAGGCGTGGTAAAGAATGACATGTACAGAGTAGTCACAGTGTCCCTGAGGGTGTACTGGGGAAGGAACCTAGATTTGGGAGCATGAGTTGTGAAATGGTGGAAGTATCCTGCTTTAAGGTAAGTAGGATGAGGATGATAAAGTGTAAAGAAAGGAAGGAGCAAATGGCATTCCATTTCATCATTCCATCAGGTACATAGGAGAAAGGTTAGTGCTGGGAATTGGTGAGAGCATAAGACAAAGGTCAAGGACAACTCCAGGCTTCGGAACTTGGAAGACAGTAGATGTTGACATTATTGACAAAGGCAGATGAAGTCAGAGGCAAGTGGGTTTGGGAGAGACATAATGAGTTCAGTTACAAGCAGGATCTTTGTGGTTGTAATGGCATTTCAGGGTCAGCTGTCCAGCAGGCAATGTGACATGCCACTGAAATTCAGGAGAGCATTAGTGAACTACACACAGGTCAGCACTGAACAGTTGTGTCTTTGCCACTGTCATTAACATAATATATTAGTACAAAACTATGAAAAAGGAAACAGCACAAAGATAGTATAAATGAAAACCTCAAGGCCAGGGAGGACATACAGATTTCGATGTCATCCTCAGGGAGGCAACCACCATGCCTGGAAAGTGAGTGAAAGCTCTGCATGGGACCATGAGTAGGAAAATCCCCTGGACAGACACAGACACAGCCTAAGCACCAGGGGTGCGGTGGGGAGGGGGCTGTCTGTGCACTCATCGCCCTGCTGCTCACACATACACAGGCAGGCTCAGTCTCAGCCACAGCCGCAAAGCAGAAGCTCTAAGGCCTGCTTCCGTTTCTGTTCCTGGCATTTAGTTCCCACATGGACACTCTACTCTCTTTCCCACCCTCATCAGAGCCTTACTCAGAGAAACTTTCTCTATTAGCCAATTAAAATTTGCAAGAAATTTAAATCATCATGCTATTACCTCCACCATTGTACAGTGGGACAGGCTTTGCCTTTTTTACAGGGAAAAAATTACATTAAAAGAAACATGAATTATATCATGTTAGCTCATGCTTTAAACTTTTCAATGGCCTCTTAATTGCCCTCAGGGGCAAGTTCAGAATCTTTAATATGATTTACAAGTGCCTGCATGAGCTATCAGGTCTGCCTCTCCAGCTTCAACACCCATCATTAATGCTGACTTATTTAGGCTGGTTTTAGTTCTCTGAAAGTGCCCAAGCCTGTCCCTCTCAGGGCCTCAAATGGTTTCATTACCCCTTGAGCCCTTCACCAGACTAACTCCTGGTCATTCTTTCTTGGTTTAAATGTCATTTCTTTAGGGCCATCTTCATGATTCCCTAAGCAACACTCAGGGCCCCTGGGAGTCACTTTCATAGCATAATTTT